TTAAATGAGCCCCCACTCGCCCTATGTTGCCATTTAAGATTTTCGACCCCCCTCGCGCCCCCCGGTCCCTTTGGAGGTGGGGGGGCGCCACCCCCCGCAGAAAGTAGATTTTTTGAAAAATCGTTTCACGTGTTTCAGCGTTTTTTTTTAATGTTGGAAGTTGTCGAAATATTTGACCGTCCCGGTACATAATTGACACCCTGTATATATATACACATACTTATATAAATTACATAAAAATTTGAATTAAATTATATTACTTACTTTTGATTTTTCAACCATGCCATTACTAAGTCATAAAGAATGTCGTGCTCAGCATTTAAATTGATGTCAACAGGAGAGTGTGGATTTAATTTATTACTGGCTACGAGGAGCTCGGCGAAAGTCTTTATTTTGAGATTCACTTGCCACTTGGCTTGCATAATTTTTTCGTTTTTGATTCGTGCAAAGTTCATGCTTTTTGTTTATTTTTGGGGTTGACAGTTGGAGTTTCCAAATTTTAATTTAGATGTAAAATACATTTTATCTAAGGAGAGCTTGTTAGCAACGAACTTCTATATTTCACTGAGTAGTCCCTTATGTCCGGTTGAAATGCGGAACTCACTGGGACAAATATAATATTTGTAAAAATAGTCACTGTATTTCTCGTCCTTTTTTATGAATTTTAACATTTCTGTCTTACCAAAAAGCTCCAGTTTATCAATATTATCTCTTGATATTCTCTGCAGCGATGGGTATGTTATAATCTTCTAGAGTGATATTAGAGTGATATCTAGAGTGATAATCTTCTAGCATGATATTTTTTAAATATACAGGAACTTTGAGTCCCATTGCCGTCTATCATATGCCACATTGTTGCTGTTGCCATGGACATTTGACTTTCTTCTTGAATCTGAATTTCAATATTAACGTAGGCTTTTTTGTTTACCTCGCCACTTTTTCGGCCTTTCTTCTCACCCTCCATCATTTAAGATTAGAAAGTATTTATTTATACTAGGATTCGGCGCTGTTGATTCGTGAACAATTTCAACATGCAATCGTCTTAACTGTTTATACAAATTAATACTGAAAACTGTTCTCATATGGAACATAATGCACACAAACGTGACTGCATGATATGAGATTCAAAGCTTGCACAGTGCTTGCGAGTCACACTCATGTACACTAAGGAGATTCCCATACAGCACAGAAGATTGAAGCAATGTTGCAATATTGTAGATTGCAATGTAACATTGCAGAGGTATTACAGAAATGTAAATTAACAATATGCCTGCAAAATGTCAGTAATATGCTTGTAATATTCCGTAAGCATTGCAATACTGTAATTCTTTAATTGTTATAATAATAATATAAAAATATAAGTTTTTACAACATGTAGTACAGTCTTTTACTTTAACAGTTGTTTTTTATGATATAATATAGTATATAATTAATATAATTCATTTTATATTTAAATAAAAAATTTATTGATATATTATTTGAC